TTTTGCTTTTCATATTTTAATAAATAATTAAGTACATATATATATATATATATATGTGTGTGAGGAAATTGGTCAGAGAGAGAGACAGAAATGTGTGTTTCTTCGCATCTCCGCATTTTTGCACCGCGCGGCTGCGGTTTCTGCAGATGTATCGCTTAATATTAGGCATGCGATATGGTGTAAATTGCGAGCGAGAGAGTCTCTGGCCAGAGAGGGAGATGATGAGAGATTTTCTTCCAACATTAACTAGTTAGTGGCTTCATAAATTATTTAACTTAACCCCTTCATTCATGCACATCACACACTCGCGCTCGAGCTCAAGACTCCGCCAGGTGGACAGAGTTGAGAGGGAGGCGTTGGGCACTCCACCTAGATGAGAGATCTCAATTTCCCCGCCACGAGCAATGCGCGGGATAATAGAGCAAGGGCTGGTGAATTTTCAGGGCAACAATTATTCAATTCATCACTTTATTGGTTGCACTTTCAATTCCCAAAAATTTCACTTCGTTATCAAATACCTGAAGGCTCAGGCTTGGAATTGAAAAAAAGGTGAAAACGCAATTTGAGATACATCCGTTAAATCGTCAGTGAAAACGACGAGCTAAATATTTCGACAATTTATTGTATGATAATGCGATGTCATTTTTAAATCACAAAAACACGTTGCCTGTCATGAGTGATGAATTTTCGGGCACAATGTGTGACACGAGAGGATTTGCAAAATGCGTGTCACAACTGACACCACAATGACTGCCAGATCATGATCATCTGCTGGCGGTGCATCTCTGTTGTGGGCAAACACGTTGCAGAGGAATGATGACCGCGGCGTTTGTGGCTGAGGGCGCGCGCGCGCGCGGGGGAAGCGAAAACGCAAGAATGGTAAAAGACCCGATAATTAATTGACCACATAAGAGTGAAATGTTGACTTCCACCGCCCTCGAGAGTGGATGACAATATATGTGAGGTATGAAATTTTCTGCGCTTCCATTGCCCAATTTCATTGTCTCCTTAGCGTGTCATTATCATCCATTTTTTTCCGCCAAACTCGGCATCGTCTCTCGGGTGTGTTATCCATTCTTGTGGCATTTTTGCCACCATGTGGAAATAACCCCGAAATTACGGTGAACAATCAACAACATGGAGTTTAGCGGACAAAAAGAAGCATTCACTGCGAAAATTACAAGAGGAAAATGATGTTGAGAGATGGGTATTTTTGTATAGAATTGCGAATAATACACTTGAACGGTGAAGAAGAATGAGACGAGAGAGGTTGTACGTGAGTGTGTGTTGGGATGAAGAGAGAAAAAAAAGAAGCCTCAGTGGCATTTCTCTTCTCATCCCATCCTTCTTCTGCGCCATAAGAAGGCACCTTTCTTGCTCTTTTTCTTTGCCAGCGCGCGTCAAACAGTTAGAAGTTATTCACCGTAAATGCGAAATCATTAGAGGCATAAATACATACAACCTGACTTTGCATTCATTGAGTGGTAATTCAAAGAAAGTGAAATTAAACACACATCGCTTCACCACCATTATTCAATTTCTATTGTACGTTTCGCCTTTAGCCACTGTGTGTTCTTAGAAAATTGCCTCCGCGCAATCCGCCAACCAAGAGAATGCGAAGCGAAGAGACGCAGCGAAAATGCGTGGAATATTGCGAGATTTTTATTCATAGAAAGAAAATGAATGATGAGTAATGATTGTGCAGTGGAAAGGAAGAAAGAATTGCACACACATTTCCCCATCGCACAACTCTCTTGCAATGATGTCGAAAGAGAAAAACCTCTTGCGGTGGAATTAACTCTCAAACATAGAGATGACAAGCATTTGTCACATATTGTGGAATTCCCATTTAGGTGAACATTTGCAAATTCAAATTTCCGCTCACTCCCAAATAGCTAAGAAAAAAAAACAGAAGAGTCTCTTGGACATTGATCAGCGAATTAATTTGCAATTTTCGCAGATCACAATTTGAATTTTAGCGTACCAACGAATTACTGTCATAAAGAGAGACACTTGACTGTAAATTGCACATTTCCTGTCAATAATCAAATCCATTTACACAAATCGTCGATGAACCAAATGCAAAATATCCCTGAGAAAGAGTTTCCGTCTTGCCTCTCATTGAACTCTTTCGTATGTTTTATCAGCGCATTTCACTAGAGTGGCGTGCAGATTGTGATTCTTTTCCACTCAATAGTGAGACTATTTAGCAATATGCTAATCGAAAAGTGCACAAGGAATAAGGAAAGACTCATATTATCAACAATCACTACGCTACTGCTCTCGTGCGCGCGCGCGCGCGGGGATTAACCATAAATCATAGTTGAGAAAGTAAATTTCTTGTCGAGTTCTCTGGTTTTCAGATAAACCAATCTTCGCGCTTGAAATTCCCTACTGTTTGTCTCACAATTTTTACGAACTTTATTAGTTTGGCTCGTTTGGTTTTATTTCCTTCTCATCTGGGCCGAGATTTTTATTGTTAGGAAAAACATATGTGGCTTCTTTTCTTCCATCCATAAACCATTCACCTGACTCGTGGAGCATTGCGAGTTCTTCTGCGTCATGTTCAAAGTGTGATTCTCAGTGAGTGTGAGAGATGAAAGGTGATTAGCGAACAAGATTCTTATACAATATAAAATTGATCATATTGGGCATTTCGTTCCCATATTGATGCCACATCTTTATGAGCTAATAACAGATTGCTTGTTTAATGGGATTCATTAGGAATTCTTTTGAGATTCCATCGTGTGTTGGGTGTAAAAAGCGCACCATGTGACGATAAAATTCTATTGAAAATCTTTTCTTCTATCGCCCCAGCAGAAATATTGGCTCACCATTAATTTGTTTTCATATGTATTAGAGATATTTCTGTATCTCGCTGTTTCTGAAGCTTTTTTTCTCCTCCTTTTATCCATATCTGCAGAGGAGTTGAGACAAATTGGTTTAACAGTAAAAATTGGGTAGAGAATATGAAGAGAAAAAATCATCGAATTAATTAATATTAATTGCAACTAATGCTGATTAATTTGAATTTTGTCAACTCTTAAGTGTGTTTATGCGTGGAGAAAAAGCGAAATTATCTAGAATTGTTATTTATAGTGAGATTGATTCACAGCAAGAGATTTTTTTGCCATATATGAAAATTTATTAATTGTCGAGAGAATCTACGCGTGGGGCGCATTTAGTTGAAGAGGATATTTTGCTGAGATAAATTGATAGTGCTAATCTTCGCCAGAAAGCCGTTAACCCTTTCCATCTTGCCTCTTGCAGACAGTGTAAACTCCACAATGTGGAGGAAATGGATGACATACCAGCTGGTCATAATTGTAATGTGGTTTTCCGAGACGAATTTCGCGGGAAACTTCAAGATCACGCACAAGCCGTGCTCGGTGCGCCAGTTTGAGGGCACGTGCATGTTCGTGTGGGAGTGCATTAAGTCACGCGGGCAGCACGTAGGCATGTGCGTAGATTCATTCATGTTTGGCTCGTGCTGCTCACACAACATCACGGCCGAGGACGTGATCGTGTCCCAGAAGATCACCTTCATACCAAATAAATCTCCAACTGCCACAAAGAAGCCTCAAGTGTTCTCCAGTAAGCCCGTTACGTCAGCGAGGTAAGCCATTGGGACATTTTCTCACCACAATTTCACTTTCAACCCAGTCATTCTTGCCATTCTCACCGAACGCATTGTGCATAGAAATTGAGCCAGAAGGCGGATAAGTGGTTGGAATTAGAGGTTGAAAAGACGATATTTTTCTGCACTAAATCCGGCTCGAAGGACCAGGAATTCGAATGAGAACTGTTTGAAATTGAAAAATTTTCCCTATTGTTCATCAATTCTCCCTTCTTTGCGCATCTTTTGACCAGAAAGAAGAGACTTTCTGCAGTGATCCGCCTTCCGGCTGAAGTGTAATTGCCGGTGGGAAGAATAAGAACACCGTTGTGGGAAAGTTGCATACGTGATTTTCGAGATATGACATGGCACAATGCAATGGCACGTGTGACGCTGTAAATTAGAGAGGGAAAAAGAAGTATGCTTGAGACAATATGAAAAGGGAAAGTTGTAATCGCAAAATTCCTGCGAAATATCGCATATTTTCTGTGTTAAATTTCTCGTCACGACATTCATTGTCTCTCGCGATGCACACAGTAATGGATGTAATATTGAAATTGTGATGTGATTTTCAGTGGAATGACAACAATTCTTCGACCAAATGGAGGTGGAATGCTGGTTGTTCGTCCCTCATTTCACAAGCCAAATACATTTCACACCACCAACACAGCAGTCAACTACCCAAATGTCGCTTTAAACACCATCTCGGTGGTGAGCAACAGCGTGGCGCCCGAGGACAATGCCGTGCAGGACTCCTCGGACCATCACGCGCCGCCGCACTGGCAATCGTCCACGCAGCCCAGCTTCGTGACGAATCCGCGGCCCGCGACCACGACGAGTAAGACTTTCGTGCCTCAGAAGCACAAGACGAAACCCAGCAAGAAGCCCATCTACGCCACGACGGCCCCGCTGAAGGCCAGCACCACTAAGGCCACCCCACAGAAGCCCTCGTCGCCGCCCAGCCGGAAGCCCACGACGCCCACCACGACGGCCGCGCCGCCGCCCGCCAACGCCACGGATGCGGAGAGTCGCATCCTCACGATATCCGCAGCCAAAGGAGTAGGTATACAAATTTCTTTTCCTCTTATTCACGAAAGGGCGCCGCGAGCGGGAAAGACCGACCAAAGGATGCAAGTTGACGCTTTCCCGCTCTAACGGACATGATCAGAGACAGGCGAACTGCATGACAAAAGCTGCAAAATGGGATTTCACTTATTTGAGGAACATAAAATTTACTCAAGTTTCATTGTCTCAAGCACTGTCAGTGGCTATAAATTACACAGTTCTTATCGTGCTGATAAAGCGTATCAACATTAAACCTTTTGAACCAATCTTCGCTGCTGTGAATACTCTGAAATTTCACGATAAATTCAGTAGTGAGAAAATGACTTCGTACGATCGTTTAGTGCCAATTGCCACCGAAGATCTTCCAATTCTTCGAGATTTATACAAGAAGAATTGGCCTAAATATAGGATTCCCTACCACACGATTACTCACTTCACATTCTGGCTCGAAACGTACAATGTTGAAGACCTTTTGGTGTGGAGTCTGAATGATTCTTGGCGAGAGAATGGCACAGTGATCATTAAGGTTAGTCAAGCTGAAGATAAGGCATTTCACAAGGCTCTCAATAATCTTATATTTGTAGAATCATCGGGATATTCACTTTGCCACTCTCGATTCCACTCAGGAGACCTTAGTCAGAGCCTTGTGCTTAATGGATTGGAGTGGAGGACCTCTGATTTGTGGATTTGAAGAACATTTTCGGCCAGCCATTCGAAAAGCTGCCGAAATAGCTAATTTCCCAATCGTCATTGAGGATTCTTTGAAGCTCTTCACATTGACGAGAGAGAAAGCCAGAGCCTTGCAGAAGGTTGATCTTGACGAAGGTTTAACTATCAGAAGACTCACTGTTGAGGATGCGTCAATTGCCAATGATTTGTGGCGATACAAGAACTCCGTAACTGAAGTTCTTCTGCAGAAAATGGCCAAATACAACATTTGCTACGGTGCTTATACTCCCACTGACAAACTAGTGGGATGGATCTTCATCACGCCCTACGGAGCCATTGGTGTTCTTCATATTCTCGAGGAATTTCGCGGCAAGAAGATTGCTCAGGCTCTTGTTATACAAATGATAAAGTATCTCATTGACACATTCGCTGATCTTGAGCCTTACGCTTTCATCGACGCATTGAATGTGGCATCGATAAAGCTGTTTGAAAAGCTCGGATTTGAGGATCAACACGAACTTGGCTATTTCATATACACAAATTCAGATATTTAATAGGAAAGTGCGGTGAATAATAAAAAGCTGGTTTTTGCTGAAGAAAATCTAACTGCGATTCCATTTGGATGGCGAAGTGAATCTAATTGCTTATGAGAGGTGTGAAAAAGCCATTTAGCGCAATTTTTGCATGCAGTTCGCCCAAGAACCGGCCTTTCACTTCCCAGGCCTCGAGTGATTTATTGGTGAAACTCACCTGATAGTGTGTGATGCCGCATTAAGTCCAATGATTCTATCGTGCACTCTTTCCCTCTCTCTCCCAATTGTCTTGCAGAATGCGGAGTCTCGTCTCTGGCCACGCGCTCCGAGATGCGAATTGTGGGCGGAAAGAATGCCGCGTTCGGCCGGTGGCCCTGGCAAGTGTCCGTGCGCCGGACGTCCTTCTTCGGCTTCTCCAGCACTCATCGCTGTGGCGGCGCCGTCCTGAATAAGAACTGGGTCACCACAGCTGGCCACTGTGTGGATGAGTAAGTATTGTGTGGCTGGAGAGGAGAGTGAAGAGATTAATGTTGCTCCTCAATCTCCCACTTGCAGTCTCCTGACGTCCCAGATTCGGATACGAGTGGGCGAGTATGACTTCTCCCACGTGCACGAGCAGTTCTCCTACGTTGAGCGAGGAGCCTCGAAGAAGATCGTCCATCCAAAGTACAACTTCTTCACGTACGAGTACGACCTGGCGCTAGTCAGACTAGAGTCGCCGCTGGACTTTGATCTGCACATCAGTCCGATCTGCCTGCCGGCCACGGACGATCTGCTGATCGGCGAGAACGCCACCGTGACGGGCTGGGGGCGCCTCAGCGAGGGCGGCACCCTCCCCACGGTGCTGCAGGAGGTCACAGTGCCCATCGTGAGCAATGACCGCTGCAAGACGATGTTCCTGCGCGCCGGCCGCCACGAGTTCATCCCGGAGATCTTCCTGTGCGCCGGTCACGACACCGGCGGCCAGGACTCCTGCCAGGGCGACTCCGGTGGGCCGCTGCAGGTGAAGGCGCGCGATGGGCACTACTTCCTGGCCGGCATCATCTCGTGGGGCGTGGGATGCGCCGAGGCGAACCTGCCCGGGGTGTGCACGCGCATCTCAAAGTTCGTCCCGTGGATCCTCGAGAACTCCATCTGATCCTTGACAACGACATCGAATCCCAATTTTGAATGAGAGACACTTGATGAATGAAAATTGCTTTTTGTGATTTCAACACCGGACTTTCACTCATCCTTACTAAGTTATGGCTTTATTTCTCTGTTTGTCTCTCTATACTTAAACATTAAGGGCGAAAAGAAGGTAAAAATGGGGCAGCGTGTGAACGGCGGATGTGTAGAAAAGAATCTAGAAAGGGATATTAGAGAAGTCGCGACAGAAGCAGCAAGAGCGGCGACAGGATCATGAAGAGGAAGGTCATCTTCACGCCACTGCCGCTGAAGCAGCCCAGGTTCTCTGTCTGGAGAGCGAACCGGGAATTGTCCGGGAAGCGACACTGCCTGTCGTTGCAGCGGATCTGGATCTGGTCGCCGCCACTCAGTGATGGTCCTTCCACGGAGATGAACAGGGGCGGGCAGTGGTGGATGTAGAAGTGATCTGTGCAGTAGTCACTCACGTCCTCCTCGAAGGAGTTCTGAGCGATCCTTGTGCATCTCACTTCGCCATTCTGATTCGTGGCGTTGGCCCTGATAGACAGAGAAGAAAAATGGGTAAGTGTCAAGTAGTTAGACTATGTTTAGACTCTGACCTTGGGTTCGGCTCCGTCCTGGACATGCACACTGTCAGAGTGGAGTAGCCTTGTCCCTGAATCCTGACCACACGGCGACGATCTCCAGCGCGGAAGAAGTAGTTCGGACTGACGCGATAGAAAACAATTCCCTCAGGCTCAACATAATCATTCTGGGAGTCAATGCCCTGATCTTCAGACTGCCAAGTAGCTCCACAACGATGATTGATAATGCGACGAGGATCTATACAAATTCATACATTGAGATGATGTGATTTGAACACTTCAAGATCTTATCTTACTCTCTTGAATTCTGGTGATCAAATCCCTCAACTGAGCGGGAATTGTGTTGTCCTCAGCGCCACTCAGACCACTGACTCGCAGAGGATGAATGTGGATGCGCGGATTGCGGACAAACCTATTCCACCTGGTTGCTGTGCCTCCGGAAAGGAAATAGAGTTCCATGTCGGGGAAGATTTCCCTCATGGATCGCAATCTCTCATCGGCAAAGTCAGAATCCGCACCACTAACGCCAGACATGTTGGGAATGATCAGGACAATCTTAGATCTCCCACCCATGGTTCCGTTCTGACGTTCTTGGTCCAACTGATTGGTCATCAAAACTTGTAGAGTGGGAAGAAGATGAGGGAACTCCACACCCTGAGGATCTGCGAGAGAAAAGTGGGGGTTTAGGAGCTTTCAATGGGTTAAGCGAGATGTTGCTTACGAGTTTGATGGGTAGTTAGATTCCATTGATGGTAGAGATCACTGAGACTGTTAGTCTTGCCAACAATCACACTTCCATCAACAGCGTTCATGAGCGTGTACGATGTTCCGAAGGGATTGACATCGAGACTGTGCAAAAGGTGGGCAACGGGTCCGCTGATCTCCATGAAGGGCCAAGAAGTGTCCAAGAAAATGTACAGATCGGCCGAAGTTCGCCAGATGTTCTCATCGTTCGGCCTGTTATTAGTCACCGCGCAGGAAGGATCATTGAGAGATTGAGCTGTGGAGAAGTGAACAGAATTTTTTATAGTTTGCTGCTAAACATTGGATCTTCAGACTAGACTTACGAATGTAGGTTGACAAGGATTCCACGGCGGCATTGGAGAAGGTCTGAATACCAGCTGGATTGAGTGTGACTCGGAGTTGCATGTCTCTATCCAAGACTGTACTGAAAGCAGTCGTTTGAGCTCGGAGTTGCTCCACGGGTGCCACTTCTGGGAAAAGACTGTTCCTGTTGCAGGCTCTGAATCGCCTCTCGAAGACACCTCTCTGGCTGTAGTACATATCAAGAACCTGGCTCAGTTTGAGGGGATTGTATCTGTTTCTCCAGTCGACCACATTCAGGCCCATTATGAGGCCATCCAAACCGCCTCGGATCTCAGGATCGGTCATTTCGAAGAACTCACGCTGGCGCAGGAAGAACCAGCGAGGAATTAGGGTGCTGTTGAAGGTTCCTGGAGCACCGACGGCGATGGTGCGACCAGCCGCAGAGCCCTGACGAAGAGCCACTTCTGAGAGATCTCCGGAAAGAGTTGCGGCCCAGCGATTGTCCACATTGAAGTTCTGCTGTTGCTGCTGAGATCGGCTGGCTTCGCGGGATAGTGCTAGGAGCTCCCTAGTAGTTACCGATTGAGGTGATAGGCCAGCAGCTATTCCGCTGATGACAGGCCCGGCAGACAAGGCTCCCCATTGGGACAAGATCACTCCGTTCTCCACTGGACACTGACTAATGGCCGTGTTCACGTTGGTCACTTCCACTTGCTCCCCAAAGTCCGTGTCCAGGAAGTTCTTCTCCTCCAATTCTTCATCCTCAACTGGTTCGGGCTCCTCATCGGCTTCCACTTGGTCCTCAGGCTCCTCTTCACCCTCGACGTCTCTTGGTACGCGAGATCTGTACTGCGATAACTGATTGCAACGAATGTTCTCGTCTCCACGCACGGCAGTGTCCACAGAGGTGGAAAGCATGAAGTGCAGAGCACACTGGAAGATATAAACCAAAAATCGATTATGCACAGGCAATGCTTAAGGACACGATCCAGGGAAGGACGATGAAAGATCGACAAGACCTCACAAGAATATTGGAGCAGCATTTCTTCATCTTTAAGCTCATTTGCGAGAATCAAACCGCGTGAAAAGAATAATCAAGAGCACCACTCTAATTCCCTTCCAAATGAGCTCTTTTGCTCCGAATTACCATCGCCAGCAATTGAGAGTCATGCCGAGAAAATCGGAGTGATAGATTGATTTGCGATGCAAAGAATCCTAACAATGGCATTAAAAGTTGCTCGATGAGATTTCTCTGGGCTACTCTCGTTAAGTCGTGCCAGAAATTTGGCCTATTGATTTCTCAAGCTATCCAAACTGATTAGCTTTTGAGAAATTTCTATCAATTAATAACACGATAAAACGGCTTTTTCTATGCATCGGTTGTGTTATTAATTTCTCACAGTGATTCGAAATAAATATTTGCAAAACATGTTCACTGAACGGTGGCGAACATGTGTAATTTGGTGAGTAACAGCCAAGACAGAGAAAGTCACTGTGACCTCTCGTCTTCACTCCAAAGCATATCTTTTTATCTTATCGCCCGAGATGTGTGATTTTCATCTGCCTAGGCAAGACAATCATCTCTGAGTGAGAACAGTTGTCAGAAGTTTTCGAGCTCCGAAAGAGTGCAAAAGAAGTCTTGATGGAGAACAATCGAGTGGTATTTTTCTGGATCTTCGGAGCCACTTTCGTGTTCTCCGCAATCGCAGCTCCTCTTCAGCCGCTGTCCACCAATTGGTGGGACACGAATGCGGAGATTCAGATCCTGCAGGAGTACTTGAGGATTCCCAGCGTGCATCCCAACCCAGATTACGGTGAAGTGCAACTAATATTTAAGAAGAATTTGAGAGAAATAAACCAATAACTTCATAATGCGTCAAGATTCATAGCAGAATTTATAATGACGTCATGGTCAGGATCATCAGTATGACGGAATATCGAATAATAAAAAATAACCCGTGTCGTAGTGAGATATAAATAAATCTTCTAGCACTCAAAAATAACCATAAAACTGCTGCGAAGGCTTATAATCATAATTACTTCTTATGCGACTGCTCAAAACTACGATAATTTATTGCTGATGTCTCGCGAATTTCTTTGACAATGACTTTAATCTCTCTTCCAGAACCGTGCGTGGAGTTTTTGAGACGACAAGCAACAGCTCTTAATCTTCCCATCAACGTTTTCACTCCTGTTCAGGGAAAACCAGTGGTTTTGATCTCTTGGCAAGGAAGCGCTCCTGATTTGCCTTCGATTCTTCTCAATTCTCACATGGACGTCGTTCCGGCATTTGAGAATAGTTGGACTTATCCACCGTTTGAAGCAATTATTGATCAGGAGGGAAAGATATTCGCTCGCGGAACTCAGGATACAAAGAGCCTGGGATTGATATACTTAGCCGCCATCAGAGAACTTCAAGCACAAGGATTTCAGCCCAAAAGAACCGTTCATGTGCTTTACGTTCCTGATGAGGAAATTGGAGGCATTGATGGAATGAAAGCTTTTGTGCAGACACAAGATTTCAAGAATCTTAATGTGGATTTTGCCCTGGATGAAGGAGCAATATCAGGAACAGATGTATACAATCTTTTTTATGGAGAAAAGACTTCGTGGAAGGTGAAATTCATAGCCAGAGGCCAGACGGGACACGGATCACTTCTCCTGGACAACACAGCCGCGGAGGGATTCTCTGCCATCCTCTCGAGGCTCATGGAGTACAGGAAGGCTCAAGTGCTGAGAGAAAAGTCCGGAACTCCTCGCGGCAACTTGACCTCGATTAACCTCACGATTCTCTCGGGCGGAGTGATGAACAACGTCATCCCGGAGGAATTGTCAGCCACTTTCGACGTGCGCGTGGCTCCGGAAGACGACGAAGAGGCGCTGATTGGACAGTTTAACCAGTGGATTACGGAAGCCGGAGGACAACTTGAGATGGTATTTGAGCAGAGGAATCTTAAAGCACCTCCAAGTATTCCTGACAACTCAAATCCTCTCTGGACGAGCTTCCAGAACGCCATGAGTGAGCTTAACATGGAAATACTATCTCAAATTTTGCCTGGAGCAACGGATTCAAGATATTTGCGGATGGAAGGAATCCCAGCTTTTTCATTCTTGCCAATGAATGGTACTCCACTTCTCGCTCATGAGAATGACGAGTTCATTTATGCCGATCAGTATATCAAAGGCATTGGGATTTATGCGAAAATCATCGAGAGACTCACTGTGAATTAGGAAACTCTTCAGAGGCTCTACGTATTTGAGAAGCGATTTACTAATCAAAAGATCAATTGTCATTGGTAAAATACAAATTCTAATACGTGCATGTAGAATATAGATTGGGAATAAATAAAATGGTTATGATTGGACTCTTTCAGATTTCATAGTGGTTTTAAAATTTATTTAACAAATGATTCTTGTATAAATTCAAATTCTTCGCTGCTTTTCATTGTATTTCAAGTATTAAAATAGACACTTTTTCAAGGACATAACTTTTTGCTCATAAATTCTTCACTCTATAACTTTTCGAATACACTATAAATCAGAATGTAAAAACTCTCATGTTCACCCCAACCATAATTTTTATCTTATCACTTTGTGACGTGCAAAATTTCGTCTATAAGAAGTCAGTCCAAACAATCATCTCTGAGTGAGAACAGTTGCCAGAAGTTTTCGAGCCCCGAAAGAGTGCAAAAGGAGTCTTGATGGAGAACAATCGAGTGATATTTTTCTGGATCTTCGGAGCCACTTTCGTGTTCTCCGCAATCGCAGCTCCTCAGCCGCTGTCCACCAATTGGTGGGACACGAATGCGGAGATTCAGATCCTGCAGGAGTACTTGAGGATTCCCAGCGTTCATCCCAACCCAGATTACGGTGACATGGAATTTAAATTTATAACTAAATCAATTGAGTACAGAAATAACTCGTGACTTCTTAAAGTTATGCATCAGGATTTATTAACAGATTAATTTGTAAAGTATCCAGTGTCGTACCGGCTCATATGAAGACTCTTGAACCGTTTGACCGATAGTCAGAGAATTAATTTTGACTTGAATGGAGTTATAGAAACAATGCAAGGCTTTCTGAAGGTTTCATTGTTGTGACTCAAGTTAAATAATACTTTCAACTAACAGTTTCTTATAATTTTTTTTTCTACCCAAATTCAAATAAAAATCACACCCAAGTACAACACAGACTTAATGTAAACAATTTTTTGCATAAACGTTAAGCAAATTCTAAAACGACTAAAATTTATTACTGATGTCTTCGCGAATTTCTTTGACAATGACTTTAATCTCTCTTCCAGAACCGTGCGTGGAGTTTTTGAGACGACAAGCAACAGCTCTTAATCTTCCCATCAACGTTTTCACTCCTGTTCAGGGAAAACCAGTGGTTTTGATCTCCTGGCAAGGAAGCGCTCCTGATTTGCCTTCGATTCTTCTCAATTCTCACATGGACGTCGTTCCAGCATTTGAGAATAGTTGGACTTATCCACCGTTTGAAGCAATTATTGATCAGGAGGGAAAGATATTCGGTCGCGGAACTCAGGATACAAAGAGTGCGGGAACAATTTATCTAGCCGCCATCAGAGAACTTCAGGCACACGGATTTCAGCCAAAGAGAACTGTTCATGTTCTTTTCGTTCCTGACGAGGAAATTGGAGGCATTGATGGAATGAAAGCTTTTGTGCAGACTCAGAATTTCAAGAATCTCAACGTGGGTTTCGCTTTTGACGAAGGAGCGACATCTCCGGCAGAGAATATCAATCTTTATTACGCCGAAAGGACATCGTGGAAGGTGAAATTCATAGCCAGAGGCCAGACGGGACACGGATCACTTCTCCTGGACAACACAGCCGCGGAGGGATTCTCTGCCATCCTCTCGAGGCTCATGGAGTACAGAAAGGCTCAAGTGCTGAGAGAAAAGTCCGGAACTCCTCGCGGCAACTTGACCTCGATTAACCTCACGATTCTCTCGGGCGGAGTGATGAACAACGTCATCCCGGAGGAATTGTCAGCGACTTTCGACATCCGCGTGGCTCCGGAAGACGATGAAGAGGCGCTGATTGGACAGTTTAACCAGTGGATTACGGAAGCCGGAGGACAACTTGAGATGGTATTTGAGCAAAGGAATCTTAAAGCACCTCCAAGTATTCCTGACAACTCAAATCCTCTCTGGACGAGCTTCCAGAACGCCATGAATGAGCTTAGTTTAACAATTGAGCCTCTTGTGTTACCACCCACGTCGGATTCCCGATTTTTGCGATCTGAAGGAATTTTAGTCTTCGGATTTGCGCCCATGAATCACACTCCATTCCTTGCTCACGAGAACGACGAGTTTATTTATGCCGATAAGTACATCAAAGCCATTGGGATTTATGCGAAAATCATCGAGAGACTCACCGAGCAGTGATCTTTTGTGTAATTTGGCGAAAATTTGGCTCAGTAGAAAATGTAATAGTAGAATTGCAATAAATTCACGTCCATCGTGAATGTCTGAAAACTGTCATTTTTTTCGATAAGATAGCAAAACTGATAACGGTGACGCTTAATTTCCGTTGTCTTTGTATTTTGGTGAAAATCTTCATGTTTTATGATCGTGAATTTTAATTCTTTGAGTGGTGAGCAAAAGTATACGATGTAACTCAAATAAGATTGCGATAGTAGAGAAACTATTGGCGCGCTGAATGCACAAATATCTATTGGCCTCGGAGAGCAAACAACCTTATCAGTCCGCACAACCGCCGTGATACTCATAGTCGATGTTGATGAAAGCCCTCCTCTTTTCCAATAGCTTATCGTTATCACAATTCACATGAAATGCGATGATGGATAAGGAGTGTGAACTCATTCCCAGGGGCTCTCAAGTGGTAATCGGGAGTACTCACCCTCTCTGTGGCCGTGAGTGTGTCGTTGGGGAATTGCTGTGCATTTCCGGGCAGCAGGCGAGTCAGCAGGATGCGATGCTTGGTGAACTGGAAGCCCATGGGACTGAAGGGCAGCACGGCTTCGCTCACGTCCACTCCTGGCGCCCTCTCGATGCCGTCCTGCCTGAATCTGTGCACAATGGACAGGGAGAGCTGGCGCATGTCTTGGTTCCAGTTCTCCGAGTCCTCAACCTTCCGGATCAGCTCGATCAGCATTTCCGGTGTGTGCGGCAGGCGATTGTCGCGCATAAAGAGTTCCTGGTCTCGATAGCATTCCTGCAGGGCGGCTGAGATCCGCGTTTGGGCATTCTCCTGACCCTGCACAGCGCTCCACAGGATCACGCAGAGACTCACGAGCAAGAGTCTCCCGACCATGGTGACACTGAAAGATGGCATCGACAGTGATTAATAACAATTTCGTGAGGCACCTCAACCAGTTTGCGAGCATAAGTCAATATTTTAACACAGAAAATTGATTAGGCTCCTTATCTCGCGCACTGAGCTTACGAAATGAGCACTGAGAGATAACAAATTGATCTATTTAATCATAGTTAGGAAATTCTGGGCGGTGTTTAACCCAATTTCTCATGATTTTTCTATATGAAAAAAAGTCTCTATTCTTCAGAAAATTCCACACACTTTTGCACATTTATAAACGCGCGTAAAGTATTTCGGAATCGATTCCGATTTAAATGTGAGCACACAATTGAATTAACTTGTAAATATGTCATGTGGTATGTAAAAAGTGGAAAAATCTCAAGATGTTTCAATGGAATTGAGAATCACCTTTTTGCTTCCTCCAATTTCTCACCTTCTTAACAGTTTTCTATGTCTCTTAGTGTTGTTTTTTCCTGGGTCTTTTCCACTCACACGTCTCAACACTGGGTGTAAAAGTGCGGAAAGAGTAGAAAAAAGGCCACAATAGCCGAGTATAAAATTGATGCTCAAGAGGCACTTATTGCAAAATACAATTTCTCAATGGATGCTCATTCACCAGTCCTTCTTGTGGGACCTTTTAGAGCATAACGGTGACTTCTGTCACACACCCGATGACCCGAATTGTTGGTATTTTGCCGTCTGCAAAATCTCTGTCCACCTCACTAGTCACACCACGAGAATTCACTGTGCGTCGAACAGGTTAATAGTGAGCAAAGAATGTTCTCCTTCGCATCATTGCGAGCCACACCTTGCGATAAGGGCCCGCACCCGAGTGATAAGACTTCGAGTGCGGAATCTTATCAGTTCGCTGGGAATTCAGATACGCACTGTGGCAGGTTGTGTGGAGAAAGAGATAAAAATGGGGGAAATAAGAGCGAAGCAGGAATTTGTCATACGCAATCCACTCACTCTATTCCTGGAAAAACTCAGAAAATTCCGATTTCCATTTATTATTATTCACTCTAGCAGGGCTCTGATCTTATCTTTAATCTTCTTGAGATGATTCATTGTCATAGGCAAAATTTTACACACTTTTCTAGACATATTTTGGAAGCGCAGAAAAAGCGCGCGCGATTTTGGATTTGAAAGTATTCAATTGAATTCATTCATTTATTGAACCCTTAAAATCGGGAATATGTTCTTCATGAGGGGCCAAATGTGACTTAAGAGATGTCTGTGATGCTTGAGTCAGACTCTGACCTGAAAAGCCCCCTGAAAATCGTTCAAAATCATCAGTAGATTAGATAATTTCGCATCAAGACACACACTTTATGCAATTCAAACATTTATTTTCTCATTTCTCGTATGTAATTTATGTTACTCTGTCCCTCCATTTACGTCATCTTAATGTAATTCTATTAAGTTTACAGATTTCATATTTGGTTGTCTTCTTTGTCCATGCTGTGTCCATTTCTCAACTAAAACGTACGCAATAGAGTTCTTTTTTCCGCTGCATTTCAACATTTTCTTTCCCAAATGAGAATCAAATCCTGGATGTCTTTCTTTTTTACAAAATATTATTATCTAAAAGTATTGCCTTTAAATGGTCTTCTTTTTTTAATATTCTCTCTTTTCGGTAAATGACAATCTCTATTTGGTAGTTTTTCCTTTAATACTTTCTCACCATCGTCGTCAATTGTTTATACCACATTAAAATAATTTCAATAGATATTAAGATTTATTTTCATTCATCTAATTCTCTTATGAGGTTAAATATATATATATATATCAGATTGATTCACCAATTTTTTTTGTTTAATATGCTTATGACTACATCTTTTCTCCTAATCCCATTACCTTCTCAATATATAGAAAGACTTTAATAGAGGTTCTTCTGTTTTTCCTTCATCTTTTTCATAGTTTTCATCTATTCTTTGTTCATGTTAGTAATTTTTTTTGTAACTTTACATGAGGTACAAGACATATTACTCTGTATTAGTTTCAATTACTATGACTATAGAGTTCAAAAATTGATTAAATCCATTGAAGTTCCTTGTTTGTGTTGCATTTATCAGAAATTCTCTCAATTTCCACACACGTTTTCCCATGAAATGGAAGTTTCTCATAGTTTTTTTTTGTTTAGTTAGAATAATTTCTGTTGTCTCCTTTTTAACTACCAAAAGTACGTATATAATACATTAACTGTACAAATAATATACAACACTTTTTTTTTTTTTAAATTCATCTTAATTTTTATACACTTTTTTTTCATTTGTAATACTTGATTTGTCTCTCTACGTGATATCATTTAATAACTCACATCAATAGATTATATTAAATGAATTCCTTTCTTTTGTATTCTTCGGCATTAATTTCTTCACTACTTTCACACCTTTATGTTCCTCAATATATTCTTCCCAGAACTAAATTGCACTGTCTTTCATCCTTTTGCACCAGCACAAGAAAAAAAACCTTTCCAGGAGGAGAAAGAGTTCTTCTCGCAAAATGCTATCTTTTGTCGCGGTGGAAGAAAGAGTTGAATAAAACATGGAGAAAATATCGCAGTCTTTTGAATCACCCACACGGTAAATAGCCAAGGGGAGGAAGATGGGAAATTTGTGGAATTGGTTCCGCACAACATTCCTGTTCAACATTAATGGATGGCTGGTTAATAATGAAGACGCGGAACTGAAGAAAAAAAAGTGCATGAGCTTCGTAAAAGCTCTCCCAAAAAAAACATTAAAAAATATCACACAATAAATGAAAGAACACGCTGAGCGTTGAACGATTCAAGAGCGTTTTCTTTGCCATTTGATTTTTCCTGGTTCGCCGAGGGGTGATGAACAAGTCAATGTTCAGATCGCGTCTCTTAAGGTAAGAGAAGTTGAACTGTTCGTGAGTGGAAAAGCATGAAAATTTAAGAATTCTTGCAAAGTTCTATGTTTCAACAATGCATATGAATTCTGGCGGATGTAATGAAGTCTAGAAGCAGCTCAACACCCCTTGACGAAGCATAAGTAAACTGTCTAGAATTCACATTCGTATTGCACTATTTCAAATAATCACTTCACTCCTCAATTCCAGTATCTCAAGAGTCGCCGTCAATTTCTAAAGTTCCCCGCCGCCCCCTAAAATTCAGGTGTGATTCAGCTCAGGAGGGGATTTAGCGCTAGTTACATCATCTTGAGGGCATTCTCGGACAGAGCCATGATCTTGTGGTGCTGCTCCTGTCAATGGCGCTCGAGCAGCTCTTTGGGCTCGTGCTGGTGATTGAACTGCGTGGCTGGCGGCGGCGTTTTGGCGTCGTCCGAGGGCGGTGGCGGCGGTGGAGGCAGTAAATTCAGCATGGAGAGCGGAAGTCCGGGAAATGCGCTGGAGAAGTCGGGATAGAAGGCCGGCGAGAAGGAGCCGAACATGAGATTTGGGTGGGAGACTGCGGCAGCCGCGGCGGCCGCTGCTGCCAATTCGGGATCCGGCGGCAGCGGTGAGCCACTGCCGCTGCCCGGCGGCGGGGGAATCTTCAGCAGTGTGCCGCCATTCGATGAGCCGCCGCAGTCTTTGGTGCCGTTAGCCTGCTCTGACTGATTGTTGGCGTTCTGGTTGGCCTTCTTGGAGCTGTTGTTGTTGTTCCCGCAGATGCCCATCGTGAGCAGCTCAATGGGTGGCCCACTGATGCAGTCCTTCCGCAGCTTCTCCAACTTCAGGCTCTTGCCGTACTTACCGCGCACGTACATGAGGAGCGAATTGTAGGGAATGCCGAATATGCGGGACGCCTGACTCGTGGTCATCTTCTTGTTCCACACGTGCTGCAGCGCCTCCGTGAGTTCAGCGTTGGTCCACGACCTCGGCGGGCCGCCTCGAGGCGCCGAGTGTTGACCTTTGGGTCGAGCCACTGCTCAGTCGCAGATTGAAGGGAGAGAAAAAGAGAAGATTCCTTGAGAATCACTTTTACCGACGGCAACCAATTTATGGCCATCTTCAGCACTTTCTCCCCTTAAAATCGCCTAAGACAACTGAACGGAATCTCGAGCAAATATAAGTATAATTTTAATTGAAAATTGTGTTTAACATAATTCTATCCGTAAAACATTGGGATGTAGACGTTCAGCGAATTCTTACTCTTGACAAATTAGTTGGATTAGTAAAAACACTATAAATTTCTGCACACAATTCTCCTGTTTTCTCACAAGAACATCTTATGCGGTTTTCCTCAATGCAATAGATTCCATCAACTGTATCCAATTATCACGTCCCATTTTAAAGTATCATCGAAGCTTTGCGGAAGCTTTCAACTACTATGCTTTGAACATGCAATTAATGTCTCCTTGTTAACAATTCCGATACGAAAAGGAGGGAAATTATATAGTGAATTTGCTGTCGTGCCGTTGCCAAGAAAGAGAAACGAACAACATGAGCATCTTTTGAGTTTATCAAATTGATTTTTCCAAGTCTCACACTTCCTTATTTTCCCCGAGAATGTCCTTATCTGTGTGCGTCCATTTCTTTTTCTTAAATTGCTTTTAATGAAGTTGTTAATTTTGCCTTCCAATGAAGCAAGAATTATGATAATTTCCATTATTATTTTTTTCTTCCGTTTCGCATCTCAACTTTTAAATCCAGCGCGCCTTAATGACGAGAGAGAGAGAAAAAAAGTGATACATCTCAGCTCGAGAGTTCATCGGGAAAATTAATTAAAAAGGGAATTGATGAGTTTGCTGGAAAAGTCAAAAGTATCGCACAATCAGATTTTCTTATAATTAAGGGATTGAATATTGGGGATTTCTTATGGCGATGCGTCAAAAATCGAAGGTAAATAGCATTGCGACGTTGCCTTTATTTCCGCCACTATATTCTCATAATTTGTCATTTACTAAATGAGTTACGAGTAAATGAATCGATGTTGCTAGAGTTAAATAAGTTTGTCACGTGAATTAATAACATTTTCACGTCATGCAAGGCATTCAATAACGCCAATATTGAGTGAATATTCTCTGAATACTCCTTATACTTCATGCGGTTTTATGATAACTAATTTATGCCTAATTAACTCTAGATGGGACGTATATTGTTTATTTGAAGCATAGGTAATTCTAATTCATATTTCTCCGTCTTCTATTGACTACGCATGGATAAATAGTTATTCTGGATTCTTTTTCCCTTTTAATGTGTCTTTGACATTAGAAAGAGATCGATTTTTCTCAAACTCAACACGCTGTGTCTTCAATTATTATCTATTTCAGATCATGTTAATCGAATTTGATAAAATAAATAAACCCAGAAACTGTGAGAAAGTAACACTTTACATGCTAAACATGCCGACTTTTGGATTTCTTTTGTGAATGTTTCACGCTTTTTCCTACAATCTGCCCTCAAAGAAATGTGAAAAATGCAGAAATGTGTTATTTGTGGTTAACTAGTGATCTGACAAAAATATTTATGCACAAATTAACAAGTTATCAGCACGACAAGTGTCCCATAAAATTTCCCTAAGCGATACACCATTGAGATTTGTGATCATAAATTGGAAAAGAAAGATACTCGCGAGGAAGCTATAACCATTCCTAATGAGCACACAGTTTTATCGGATATTTGAGTTGTGCACTTGAGTCCAGATCTTCTCGATCTTGTAACGTCTTTTTATGATCTTTCCCGAGAACACCTATAAAAGTTCTCTTGCCTTCGTGGCCACAAATCATGAACAGATGACTCCGAGAAGAGGAGACAAATCACAAGAATTATCACTAAACTTCAACTCCTTAACGGTCTCTTATTCTTTTCTCTCTAAATCGTGCCGAATTAATGGACGAATGCACTTAAACGGCCAGCAATTTCACAAGGTTTTTTTTTTCACCATGAGAAGTTTTCGCAAAAGTCCACGTGAAATCGTGTTAAAATCTCATCAGCATCAATTAATTTCAATTATACTTCTGTTTCGGCACGCAGATTTCCTTCGTGAATATTTGATGGACACTAATCACGGGGAATCATGCAGAATTGCTAATTAGTGCTTTTAAGGTGGGCATAAATAACCTGAGACATGACTTACATTTCTTCTTGAGGAATTTCGGCGGATTGCTGTGCAGATTACGCTGATCCACTGGCATTGGTGAGCCGTACAGCCTCGATGACTCGGCGGCGTGCTGGAAGAGGCCCAGCGGCGGCGCTTCCATGCCGAAAACTACAAAAAATGGAATAGGCGAACTTTGGACTCAGGAAACTCCGCGGAAATTCTGTCACAGACTCTTTGCTCAAGCTCAGCTTAATCCTATTATCGCTGATTAGCGATTTGGCACAACATCAACCAACCCAGATGCTTAATTGACGATGGAGAGGAAAAATAAAGATGCGACCAACATTCTTTGTTGGCTTAATCAGGTCAGCATCTTATCTTCACCTCGAGGTTAAAGCAATTAGCACTTTGTGAGTCTTTAATATGTCAATATACAGAATATTGCAGAAAAATGAATATAATTCATTTAATTTTAATTATTCATTTTTCCAGTTTCTCATTTTCATTTAGTATACGGAGAAAGAAAGTGTAATCCTTTGCTTTAGCATTTTGAAGAGGTAAATACACATACAGAGTGGTAAATAGCAGCACAAAACTTGTTCAATTCTTCTCATCTGAAGTATTTTCTTAGAGATTTCATTGTTTGTTTCTGTTTTCAAAACTTGCAAGACTCGTGCGTGTGAAAATTGATTGGCAATTTCCTAGAAATCCAATCTCAAGTTTATTTATGAGTGAGAAGAAAGTGCTTCAGAACCAATAAAAGGTCAAAAAGACCTGAATTTGAAAGCATATATCAAGACCTTGATCGCCAATAAAGACATCTGGATAGAGACACTGTGTAATTTCCGCTAAAGTAACATTGGAAATTTCGCAAAAGATGTAAAAAAGAATCCCTGAAATTGTTTCTTAATTGCCAGGACTCCTAATTAGCATGCACACCTGGAATTTCGGGTGAAAGTGCTTTTTGGGGGAAAAAAGTGAAACTCACTGTGGGGCGGACTGAAGGAGAGCTGCGACACCGAAGAGATTCGCGGGAAGGGCAGTGCTGCAGACGGGAGGATCGATCCATTCTGCTCCTCGAATTTCACAGCCGATGGTGTGCCAGTGGATGGGTTCCTGGGCGACGCTGGCATCCCGTCCCCGTCCGGTGGGCCCTCGTCCATCTTCTCATTGGCACTCTCTTCGGGCTCCACGGAGTCTGGCGGTCCTGGGGGTGATTCTGGTGTCTGCATCATCATGCCGTGGCCGGGCAGATGATTGGGCAGCATCTGGCAGCACTTGGCGAACGGTGACTGACTCCACGAATTGAGATCCTTCAGGTTGAAGAGGATTCCATTGTTGTTGTCGCGCTTCTGCTCCTCTTCGCCACTGCGATCCTCATTTGACGATGGTGGCGTGGTGGATCGCGTGCAGAGATTCTCAGGTGCATCCGGTCGCTCTGGCGAGTCATTGCGGGAGTTATTGATCGCTTGGTGGTTCTCTGACGGCTTCTCAGCGTCCGCCTTTTCGGCATTCAAGCGACACTGCAGAGGATCCAACACCAGCATCTTCTGGCTCAGGTCCTGCGGTGCTGGATCGTCTCCTGAGCGTCTCCGGGGACGCGCTTGCTTCCTCCTGGGCAAATTCGTGGCGTACACGTCAGAGTTCTGCATGTTGTCCGCGGAATCCAGGAAGCTGTGCGGAGAGATGAGCAGCTTGTGCAACTGTCCCGTGTTGCGACTGGACACGGATTCCGGGCTGGCGGGTGAGAGAATTGTGGAAGTGTCTGTTGCCATATCCAGATCCTCGGGCGTCGTGGCGAAGAGAATTGGAAAGCTGTCGGACACACTGAAGTCCGCCAAGCCGCGGATTTGGAGCGACTCTCCGGCCTGAATGAGCGTCTGTACGTGAGTCTTGGACACGCGAATCTCACCGCGGTACATGAAATCGATGATGGCCTGCACGATCCAGCCATTGAAGTCCTTGAGCACGATCACGGGATGCTTGCATGGTGTATCGGCGAAGACGCGCTGGAAGAAGGGCGAGCACGCCGACAGGACCACCTTGTGCGCCCGGATGCTCGTCTCGGCGCACACCAGTGTCACGTCCACGAGGGTCTTGGTCTGCAGCAGGGCATTGAATGCGTGCACCATGTGGCTGTGGTGGTTGTTCCACCGGAGACTGTACAATTCTTCGGAATTCATTGTGCTTTGGCGATTTACAACTCTAATGCCATCAGAAATCTCCTCGAGATTCACCTGAAACAACGGATAAAGACGTTATGGATATTAAAGGGTCTCTAAATATCTTCCGACAGACTTTTCAGATTGGTTAGATAAGCTGGAAAGATGAAAGTAATTGAAAAGTCTCGCGGATAAAGGCAAAAGATTGCAAAAATCACAAGGAAATTTGAGTTTACATTTTAAATCACAAATGAACTAATGTTTAGCGGGAAAAGAACATTGATAAGACCGCCTTCTTCTACATTATAAGTGTCTAAATCAAGAATAAAGACACATAAAATATAACTTAGTGGGGAATCCAAGAAATGAAAGCATTAAGTTTACATTTAAAAATTGAAATGATTCAAACTGACTTTGCAATCCTACATTTTAAGAAACATTGAAACGAAGTAAGAAAGCAATAAAAAGGTATTTCGTGGAAATATTGAAGAAAACTATTTGTCCGATAGAATTCAGGTGCAGTTTGAATTGTATTTGTCAATGTAAAACCATACGAAGCAATGAGAGGATTTATTGTAATTTTTCTACCATTCCTAAGTCAAGAACTGTGCAAGACATAATTCCTGACCACGTAGAAAAGAATGCAGTGGAGTATGTCGGGCAAACACCGCGAATTTCCCAGCGAAACCGCAGGAAAAGCGCAAGGCTGGGGGTGGCCACAATACAATGCACAACATTTTCATCTGTGGATTGCATTTGTGGGGATTTGCTTGATGTTTCCATCCATCCAACTGCTGATCGATATTTATTTATTTTTTTACTAATAGCTGCTCCGCCCTCTAATGAGTGTCGCCGCGCCCAGAACGACTCTCTTTCTCTCTGGCCATCGCAGATGTGGTAACTCGGAATTCTCACCCATTCATCCACCTTTGTCATCTGTTGTGCCAATTGCTGTGTTGTTTTGCTCGCGCGTACCTTTTTCCCCTTTTGCACTCCAGCGCGCTCAAGTGCAGCGGACATCGCGAAGGGGGAGCGAGAGAAGGACAATCGCATGGATGCAAGGACAATGCTTCCCCTCAATGGACCCAGCTCTCGCTCATCCCTGCGAGTGCAAAGCTCAAATTCTCTTTCCGCCTTTTGTTGCGATTCATAGTTTCCCATCTCATTGAGAAATCATGCTTTCCATTGTCACATCAGAGGCATCAGAGCGATAAAGCTTTTCAGATTTTCCCACAAAAGTTTCCACAGGTTTTTTTTTTAATTCATCCCTGAGCAACAGAAGATGTTCCACTGAACATTTCGTAGTCCCTTCTATTGTTTCTAATGGTGAATGATTGTTGGAAAGTCCCTGTGAAAGCATTTTCTGTTGCTTCACCCTAAAAAATATTCTTATTTTCAATTTTTTCTGCAAAATCTATGACAGAATTATTGAAACTCACTTTCATTTTTAGTGGTTTTTTGAAAATATATGGATTTTTCATGTGTTCAGACAAATAATTGATTTATTTGTAAATAAATATATAAAAGTCATTGTAGAAAATTTAGTTCTTAAATTTAAAATGAATCCATATTGTTGAGGTCACAATATTGAGACTTTGGAGCATCTTGAGGAAGAAATAAGTGTAAATTTAATTTAGGACATGCAATTTTACCCAGGATTCTTATGCAGAAAATTTTAACAGATGTATTAGAATTGAGTTTGTTTACCACATAGAAAATGAAATTTTCTTTATTCATATTTGATACGTAATCGTCCTGATTATTTATTCTTGACACCTTTAGTTATTGAATTCTGATTGAATCATCATTAAACAGTTGAAGTTTGAATACCTCTATTCGATTGTATGGTTATCTATGTACTCAAACAATTTTTTTTATAAGTTTTGATTTTCTATCAAAATCCAGGAATGATTTTTTTTTCTCAAAAAAGCTATAGGGTCAACTGACGATGTTTTACCCTTTTTGCAAACATAAAAAGTCTAAAAAGTCTTAGCATGATTATTAAGTAATTGGATGAATTTAATTAACATTTTTGATTTTCTTTCTGCACACTAAACAGTGATGAATTCTCACAAGTTTCTTTTTAAAATCCTTTTTGTAACTGGAAGAAACAGTGAACAATGCACATTATCTGCGCTCTTCTGTGAGATTCTTCATAAGTGTTTCTCACAATAGTTAATCTTGGGGAGTCATGTGAAAATCCGTGCACTCAGGATGTCTGGCAAACATCAAGGAGTTCCCACAATTAAATATGTAACGCCGTGGCACTTCATTCCCATTGAAAAAGCACCGTGCGTCTCAGACGAGTGAAAGGGGTTGAAGATATTCCCCAAAATTAAATAACTGTATGCAAATAGATTATGATTTGTGTGTGGGGCTTCTCGAATTTGCGATTACACTGTTTAATTAGTACAATTTACTGTGTCTTCTGCCGTCGGTTTCCGCACACTCGAAGCACACCACACACGATTTTGGGGTTGGTGAAGAAAGGGTGGAACTGGGGACACTTACTCAGATCCAAATTGTTGTTTCCACCTCAATTAATTGTTCACTTAATCCCGCTCCTTTCGGGATCCGGGATTGAAATCCTGTCTGGCTCTGAATTGAATGTTTGTGGTATGTTTATATCACGCTTCTCACCTTCAGTACACTTTTAGCACATGGGTGAGAGTTCTTTTTCACCTCGGAGTGGCACTATGTGCTTCCTTTCACAAAAGGTGTGCAGCAACACACTTGATGGAAAAGTGGCGAAAAGTTGAGGAAACTAGCATACAATCAGCTGTTTTTCACACACGCACGGCAATTTCACTGAGATTTTCCCATGCTTTTCACACATGACAAACACTGAATTTCACTTCTTGCCACAAACATTTTATTTTTCCTTATTCTACCACTTCGACAAGAGTACAAATTTTCACGATATTCCTTCACACACGCAAAAGCTTCTGTCGATTTCTCCTTATCCTATGTTTTTTTTTCCTTGAGTTTATGTTTTTTTTTTAATTCTTTGGAGGGAAGATTCTCAACTATTGTGAATTGTGAGGATGGACTTTCACTGATCCGCGAGAAGAAAAGTCACGTTAAAGTATGATTGGTTGTTTGTCAGCAAAAAAAGAGCGCCAAAGTGTTGTGCCGAAAAATAGAAATTGATGCTGGACCGCGCGCGGTGGTTGATTTGAGGTTGATTTTGAATTTTGAATATGTGCGAACCACCGAGCGCCTCGCCGACGTCTTAGGATTGAGGAGAGCTGACTTCAACTATTCCTCAGCATTTGCCCGAGCCACTCGCCGTATATCACACTTGATTGTATTTTATGCTAATATGTGGAAGGCAATACACATACTCATATCTCTCTTCCACACACCCTCCGCGCGTCTTCTCATTTTTACCCAACACAACACCCACACCACGCGGCGCTCTTCCCTCGCCGCCCACCCGCCCCACACCCGCGACACACTCCACATTTTCTTATAGCCACCCCCGCGCGTGTATGTGTTGTACGAATGTACGGGCGAGGTAAGGGCTACACTTTCCACTTGCCGCCATCCCTTTGCGCCTTGTTGTTCTCCTCCGCGTGTGTGTTCCAATGGGAATCACCAGTGTGCCCGGCCACCCGGGCCACCCACCCCCACGCGGGGCCTCTTCATTATCTGCCCGACGTGCGCGTGTGTGAGTGTGCCACATAACCCCAGCCCAGCAGTCCCTTACCTCCTTCGGCTCTCCGTGTGTTTATTTTGTTGCCACTCCGCTGCGAGCGAGAGGAGAAAAAAGGCCACCTCTCACTCACACAGCCCCACACCCCCAAGCACAGCCGTTGTATGATTGAAAAATAGAGAGAGAGACCGTGAGATGTACAGAAGACATTATTAGGTAGAGCGCCTCTTCCCCTCCATCATCCCCTCCGCCACATATATGTGTGACCGCCACCCCTCGGCGCTCTCCTGTTAATGAATCCGATTAGGGGGTGAGGACACACACAAATCTTATACGCGTCGCTCACTCCATTTCCTTAAAAACCACCTCCCCTCGCGCCCCGTGCCACACTCGAGTGGGGACTTCTTGCTCCCCGCAATCGAACGGGGGCTGGATGTGCCAGAATCGAGCGAGAACCACTGGGGAGCGCGAAACATTGAAACACTCCTCGCTAATGATTCTTATGGGGAAGATTATGGAATGCAAGCTGATAAAGCAGACAGCTTGGTTTTCACTCTCCAACCATCTTTCACGGAAGAGGAATATTGAGGATTTAAATAGATTATACGGCTTTATTCTATCCTTACATTGAGGATTTAACAACAAACCTATAGGCGAAAGAAGTGATAGTCAAAGAGTAATAAGCAGAAACAAGTTTTCCTTCAGTTTATTAATCACTAAGGGTATTTAAGGCATATTTAGCCTATCGTTTCTCTTAAGTTTGCTCATTACTACAAAAGGTTTGAATTTAAGTCTTGCACCGGAAGAAATGGATGGACAAACAGTTTGTTTGAATTGTGCATATGATAAAATATTTTCAATATTCTCATGACCATTGAACACGAATTCACTCATCATATTTTTAATGCCTGTTGGTGTCTCTTGCAATCCCTGCTCTCGCTAGCGCAATATTCCTCTGGTTTACCTCATCTTAAGTATTGGCGCGTGGTTTTTGCACCCCCCGGAGTGGAGATCCAGAAAAATTCCCCTCTTTTCTCAACTCATTTGAGACGCTGGCCATGAGCAAGACCGACCTACCCAAGACTCAAGTGGCGGAACAGAGTGAGAGAGAGCCTCAGTCGGAGGGGCAGTGGCTTCGTGCATCTCCTTCACTCCGTTTTTTAGCATTCTTCCCTCTGTTTTTCCGTCTTTCCTCCCGCCGCGGCGCATGCGTCCCCCACCCACTTGGCCGGGCGGGTGGGGAGAGACAGAGAGAAATTATAAAATTGCGAGTGTCAAGGGGTGGGTGGGGGGTGCCCAAATGAATGCTAGAGCGAGAAAAAACGTCTCACGATGGACGCAATGTGTAGAAGGATAAACCCTTACAGTTGGAAGAAAACGCCACCCACCCCAGCGCCTGTCATGTGGCATGGCATCTCGCATCATCACGTGCTCGGCATATGGGACGCGAGGGAGATGCCCAGAGGACGGAGTCGCCACCCCGCGCCCACTCATCAACCCGTCTTCGCAGGGGGTGGGGGCACGGCGTGAGTGAGATGAAAGACGGGGTGAAGCACGAGAGGGATTTTAATTCGTGCCATGCAAAAATATCTTATATGCTCGAGTGTTTTTCTCTCTTTCGCGTTCGCGGAGGAAGGCGCTCCTTAAGTCACCCTCACACCCCCCCATCAGAGGCTCCCGTATAGGAGCGATTTTAAATACCAAGCACCAACGGCCGTGCAGTGTTTTGTCTCTTTTCCCGCGATGGTGGGTGGGAAGCGGAGCCCCAAAAGCCACCCTCGGCAACATTTCATATCTTCTTCTCGGGCTCTCGACACACATACACACGCACGTGGGACATACCCTTCTGTGGTCATGCATGGAAAATGTGTTGGAGATGTTTTTCCGTCCCTTGCAAAAACCACACAAAACAATCGCACTGTTCACTGACCGCAGGAATCAGCAAATATTAGCTGAAAACTGTGTTTTTGGGGTGCTCCACGTGGAAGAGAGACGCACGGAAAAGCGATTATCGCGCTGAATGCCGGGAGCCGTGGACGAAGAGGTCCACCGTGAGGTGGACAGTATTGAAGTGAAGGGAAGAATCGCTCCTCGTGCACTCTCGGGCGCGCCAGAGTGGCGGAAAGTGTGCGCCACGGGGGGTGATTTCCACCCCCCAAAGTCGGGGGTGACACTGAGCCGCAACAATTGTCCACATTGCGCACCACGAGGCCTGCAGATTTCACCTTATACTTTTTATTCCTCCACTGACCATTACGGCGTTCCCCACCCAATCGCGCCCCACTCCATCTCCACACACATCCGCGTGTGTGCACCCTTTCACGATGCCTCGGTGGGAAAAAAAACACCCCCCAAATACCATATGATTCTCCACATTCGCCGAGGCAAATGTAGGGAAGGAAGACAGCAGGATGAAAGAGAACGGAAACCCGAGGATGTTTGTAGGTGAGTCACAATCGACATTTAAAGTCTGCGTTTTCAACATTATATGCTTATTTGTGCATGAACTTTTGCTTTCGTCGAGGACGCTCTGCTGAATGTCTCTGGAACACCTAAATTCATGATGAATTTAGACAAGAAAATAAGCCAAACGTAGCTTAACACATTAGAGGGCTCCGGCAGGAAGTGGGTTACCTGTGCATAAAGCAGATGGTTGGTTGAATAAAACACTAACCCTTTCACTGCATGAGGGTTTTGTAGGTAAAATTTTGTACGTCACATCTGGTTGAAGAATCTGCAGAAAAACTAACCCTCTCGTGATGAATAAATTGTGTTCAACCCATGACAATTTTTTCTTATACATAAATTCAATTATTATCTCCACACGACTTAAAACGTTCGTTTTCCTGCGCAGCAATTTAAAGATTTGCAAGGAGTTTTGCCATGTAGAATTTATGTGAACTCCAATTGTATTCAAATAATTGTGCGATAAATTCTTAATAAATATAATTTGTAACGTTTGCATCCCGAAAAAGGATTGACTACATTATAATTTTATAAACAACCGTGAGACAGATTATTATCTTAGTGGCAAACTAGGTTCTTATGCCCTATTATATCACTGATCTTCATAGCTGTATAAAGATAATGTTTGGTATCCCGAGCAGCTCTCAAGTCCGTTGTTTTTAGGTCCGTATAATAAAACTTCAGATGATTCCTCATTAATATTACTGTAATGAGACACATTGGGAATGTGCTCAAAGTTCTCCAATGAGTGAAATGCATTTCCTTTCAATCATCCCTTTCCTAATTTTCTCCATTCATCTTAGGATCTGTAAAAATGTTGATTTTGTTCATAATCATTGCCTTTAAGTTAAGAATGATATCAGGTAATAATAAAATCGGTTTGTCGGTAAAATACACCAGAATGCATGGAAATTTGAGCACAAACCCTTGAAAAATTTAAAACATCTTCATTATGCTTATGATTGTATGGAATATTCTCACCTTCTCCCCAATTTCTACACGTGAGACGCACTGAATTTCCTGGGTTAAACCACTAACCGATGGCAAAGGTGACAATATAGCACAACCACTGTGAAATATTAATGTATGTCGAAATTCAATAATTCACCATAGTGATATTTTATCAGAGTTTTCATCTCTTGACAGAAAATCATACATTTTATCATGCTGCGGTTTGTCGGGCATGAAAACTGGCAGAAGCACCCCACATATTGCTTCCGTATGTTGCAGTTCTCCTCAAGAACCTCTCCAGCATGTACATATATTTTCAAGAGACGTCGATGGAGCAGAAAAGATTGTGCAGTTCTTGGAGAGGGTGGTCTCCCACCCACTCGACCGCACAAGGCATTGGTTGGATTTCTGTAGAGAGTTCGCATTGATTTGCTGAAGTGCGCGCGAGGAAGAACGAGAAATTCTCGCAGTCTTGATGTTAATTAAAATTGAAAAAGATGAAAAATCACAAGGACAACAAAACTGTATCCCCACCATTGCGCGCGGGGGGAAGTGTGTACATTTTATTTGTGTGCTATATGGTGTGCTATATATGCACAATGTGGCGGGTAGCATTTTATTGATTAAAAAAAAGAAGAAGAGAAAAGAGGCAAAAAACAAATGAAATAACTCATGTATTTCATAATTGCACATCTACATATGCAAATAATTTTCTGAGTTGGCGCTCTATAATTTCCACATTGGAAAGAACCTCCGCCCACACCACCCACGTGACTTCTTGCGCCCCTCGAGCAACTCACACTGCCGAACACCCACCAAAACCCGTCAAGATCTTGCCTCGGCCGCGCACCCCCTGCCATGAGTTTGGGTTCACTTTCTTGTGTTTCATTTCGGCACTCGTATACGTTCTATATGGCCGCTCCGCGTGTGTACTGTACATTAATGCATTAGGGTAACTGTTCGGTTATTGGGCCCCAATCAGCTCATCTCAAGGTCAGTCGCTTGCGAATTTGCCGCTGATAATGTTCGCAGTTTTCTGGGAATATTTCTTGGTCGATTCTAAGCACTGCCAAATGATTGATCAATGCAAATTGCTCAAATAATGAGCCTTTCAATGGTAAAAAGTAAAATAGAGAAGCCCACATGGTTGCCATTAAATGTCTAAACTCAAAGAAATGTTTCGCTGGAATTGTTTCTTGCCTCTGTTCCACTTTACAGGGTGCAAGAAAGTGAGATTTCTCAGTTGGGAATTCAAAATTCGATTTCCAACGACAAAATCCACCCCCAAATTGCGTCAAGAGTGCTTGATGAGTAGTCAGCAAGCGGCAGCGCTACCCTAGTCAGATGGTAAGTAAAAATGTATAGATGATGATGGCCGGGCGGCCTGAAGAAGGTTGATTTGCATTTCCATTCGGGCGCCCTTCCCCGCCATCATGCCGCTCCTGAGATCCCTGCGCGAACCCGCGACACCCCTCGCGTCCGTCTTCATCCCTTGACATTCTTTCGCTTTCTTAATTATTTGTCATATCTCTTTCCGACACACAAAGGTTTTATTTTTACGCGAGGGGTTTGGCGTCTGTGAGAGCGAGTGAATATATTTATCGCTCTCTGGGAAGATTTTCCACACTGGGAAAGGACGGTTAGGATTTTCCCATGTCTGTGTGTCATGCCATGTATTGGTGGCCGTGAGTTTTCTTCATTCGTTTAATTTTTGTGTTTTCCACCCTCACACTCCCAACCCAAAAAACCCATACCTGGGCCTCTTAAGTCAGCGTCCTGGCCACGAGAAGCATCGCAGAAAATGGGAAAAAGGAGTCAACACAGCAGCAAAAACACTCACACATTTTGTGTGTTGTATATTTTGCGCGCAACGAATGGAAAACCCTTCGATGAAGAATATCGTTTTCTGATATTTTTCATTACGACTCTCCTCAAGTGTACTAACACAGTCAAACAGAACACATCGCGAGGAGATTGTACACAAATGAAATATTTTACAGACCAAGGAGGCGTTTTCGCCCATAGGAAAAAACACAAGAAGAAGAAGAGTGTGTATATGCAGAAAAAACAGAGATGCTCAAGGGTGGTTTCTGGGCGAGAGGCGAGCCGGAGTGCGGAGAGTGTGGTAATTATGTGTATATGTTAATGTATTTAACGATTTTTTAAGCAACCACCCTCGAATTTATTTTCCCGCTTCGCGGACGCGAGACGCGGCGCGGGGGTGGATGAAAGCCACCCGCTTCAGAGTGAAATGAGAAATTTCCAAGAAAGACGCGCAAAAGACGCTCCGGAGGAGGAAAAAGGGGTTCGCAGATGCCAACAGCGACCGCGGCCATGGTGAGGAGAGAGTGTGGGCGCTTCTGAAGCTTCAGAAGTTTTTGGCAACTTTCAAGATTTCGACCAATTTTGCAAAAAGCCATCCTTGCATTCGGAGCGAATTTCAAAAATTGAAAACCGCATTTTCCAATGAGAAAACTAAAGTTGAACTTCTTCTCATGGCATCGAGGCAAGACAGTTTCTGATAGTGCACATTAAGGAGAAGTCTGACAATTTGCAGAAAGCATGCAAAAATGGGAGTTTCACTATTAAAATCTCTAATCGTTATTAGATATTTTACGTCACCGCGTACCGTTGTTGAAAATCATTTTAAATTCATATTTGCATAAGAAATTTATTTCTGTTTTAGATGATTTACGTTTATTCGCAAAACTTAGATTTGGAATTAAGCTTGGAATTAAGTTTCTTCGATT